GAGTCCTTCCTGACTTCTGGGCATTATGATTTGCTCTGCCACTCTCTCTGAGTTCAGGAAATACATTTCTTGCATGATAGAAATAAGTGCTTGTAGGCTTTATGTAGTATGTAATTCATGTATCCCATGAATTATGAGATAAAAATTAAAAACCACACTTGCCATAAAATTGATGTTATTGTTTCCTGGTCATGATGTTGTTATGTAGTCTGGGTGGCAGAAAAGCTTTGGAAATGTAGAATTAAGATTTAATAACTCATTTTGTCTTTCTTTCCCCTTTGTTCCTTCCTCTCCGCCCAGTTCCTCTTCCCATTTGAACCTTCAATATAAACATTAATATCTAGAATGTATAAATAACTCTTAAAATTAGACTTCACAAAATAAAGGACCTAATCAAAAAATGGTCGATGAAAAGATTCTTCTCAAATGAAGAAGTAAAATGGCTAATAAGTACATGAAGAAGTGCTTGACATCTTTGGCCATGATGGAAATGCAAATCAAAACACGAATGTTTTATCTTACTCCAATAAGAATTACTATCATCAAGGACCCAATAAAAAACAAATGCCAATGGTGGAAATGTAAACTGGTAAAAACCATATGAAAATCTACATGAAGATTTCTCCAGAAGTAAAATTATATATTAGATTTGACCCAGCTATACCTCTCCCAGTATTTTCTTAAGAGCTAAAGCCATCAAGCTATCGTATTACAGTCATACTTACGTGTATAGCAGTGGAATTCACGAGAGCTAAATTATGGAAACAGATGACAACCGGCTAAAGAAAAAAATATTTTCTAGTACTCTTTAGCCATAAAGAAGGATTAGTTTTAGTCATTTATACAAATGTGGATGGTTCTTGAAAAAAATTACAGCAACAATCCATCTCTTGGTACCAATTTTTGTATTAGTCATTTTCCTGTTATTGCTACAAAATACCTGACACCTGCAACTTAAGGGAAAAAAGGACAGTTTCCAGTAAATTCAGTCCAAAGTTGGCTATCTTAAAGACAGAAATGTATGCTACAAGATCCTGGTGGGGGAAAGTCTAGCTTATTCCATGGCAGCCAAAACACAGAAAGAGTGAAGACAAGAACACACCCTTCCAGATTATGCCTCCAATGTCTCATCTCCAACAAGAGCCCACTTCCCAGCGGCAAATTCAGCCACTGACCTCATGAGTGGATAAATCCACTAATGAGAATAGCACTCCTGTTATTCATTCACCTTCCAAGCACAAGAGACATCTGGGGAACATTTAAAATCTAAAGCTTAGAAGTGCTCCACTACAAAAGTGACAAATTTTTCCCATTGTATAAGTTGTCTCTTCATTCTTTATCGTTTCCTTTGCTGGGCAGAAGTTTTTAATTGATATAACCCCGTTTGTTAATTTTTAAAAATTATTTCTTGTGCAATTGGAGTTCTGTTCAGGAAGTCCTTGCCTATGCCTATGATTTCAATTTTTTATTTATTTTAATCATCCAGCAAATTCAATGTTTCTCTTTTTATATCTAGGTCTTTGATTTTTATTTAATTTTAGTACATGGTATCAGATATGTTCTATATTCATTATTCTGCATTTAGGCAACCAGTTTTCCCAGCACCACTTATTAATGAGTCTGTGTGTTCTTCAGCATTTGTTTTTAGCTGTATTTTCAAAAATTAGATGTCTAAAGGTCCATGGAACTACTTCTTTCTTTTGTTTTATTCTGTTCATCTACATAACCATTTTTGTGCCAGTACTATTACTATTTTTATTTTTTATCTTTATTAAATTTATTGGTACATATTAGATATACAACCCAATTACATTCATCATTGGGATCTTGTACCTATACATAATTTATCAGGTTCTTATTTTGCCCCATTCCCCAACCCTACCCTCAGGCCCTCCACCCTTCCCTGTTTACAAAGACATTCTTTCCATGTTTTTCCTTTTCACAAATTTTTCTTTTCCCTTTTCCCTTTCCCCTACACTCCCCACTTCCTCTACTCTTTTAGACTTTTCTTCCTATTACCCAATATCAATTGTACATTTTAATCCTTATTTACACTTTTCATTTTTCATACCAGAGAAACTATTTGATATTTACAAATGTGTAACTTATTAATTTCACTTAAGACTATGGCCTCAATATGCATTCACTTAGCTATAAATCTCTCTAGTTTCTCATTCTTTATGGCTGAGTACTACTCCATTTTAATAAAAAAAATCTTCTTTTTCCAGTTTCCAGTTGATGGGCAATTGGGCTGTTTCCAAGTCTTAGCTATTACAAACTGGGCCACTATAAATATGGATGTGCATGTATAGTTATGGTATGATTTTTAAAATTCTTTTGTGAAGATACCCAGCAGTGGAATAGAAGGGACAAATGGAACTTCTAATACTAGTTGTTTGAGGTATCTCCATACTGATTCCCGCAGTGGTTGCACCAGTCTGCACTCTCACCAACAATGAAGAAGGGTTCCTATTTCCCTACAACTGTGTCAGTATTTGTTATTGGCTGATTTCTTAATAGTAGCCATCCTTTCTGAGGTGAGATAGAAGCTCAGTGGCGTTTCTATCTGCATCTCTCAAATGACCAGTGATTTTGAACATTTTTTTCATATGATTTTCTGCTACTTTTTCTTGTTTGTCTGAGAAATGTCTGTTCATTTCAGATGCCCATTTTTGAAGTGGGTCTTTATATTTGGAGGGGTCTGATTTTTTTGAGTTCTTTATATTCTAGGTAAGTAGACCTTCGTCTGAGAAACAGTTGGTAAAAATTTCTTTCCCACATTGTGGGTTGTCTCTTAGCTCATTATGTGATTTCCCTGACAGTGCAGAAACTTTTTTAAAAAATGAGATCCCAATTGTTGATTCTTTGTGCTAGTTCCCATGCTACTGAGGATTTGTTCATAAAGTCTTTTCCTACAGTGATATCATCAAGAGCTCTACCTAACTTCTCTTCCAGCAAGTTTAGTGTTTCTGTTTTAATATTTATATCTTTAATCAGTTTGGATTTCAGCTTAATGCATGGTGAAAGATTTAATCTAGTTTAATCTTTGTCAAGTTGAAATCCAGTTTTCCCAACACCATTTATTAGAGAGGCTATCTTTTCTCCAGAGGGGGTGTTTGGCTCCTTTGTCAAAGATGCGGTAGTTGATTATGTCAGGAGATGTTTCTGCATCTTCTAATCTATCCCACTAATCCTTGGTCTGTTTCTTTGCCAGTACTATGCTGTTTTATCACAGTGTCTTTGTAGTATAGTTTTAAATTGGGGATTGTCATACCCCCTGCCATGTCTCTGTTGCCTAGAATTACTTTTGCTATTCTATGTTTCTTCTGACTCAAAATGAATTTTTGGATTGTTTTCTCTAGTTCTATGAAATAAACTGTTGGGATTTCAATAGGGATTGCACTGAATCTGTGTTTTGGAAGTATAGCCATTTGCACTATCTTGATTCTTCCTACATAGGAACTAGGGATGTTTTTCCATTTTTCTTATATCTTCTTTAATCTCTTTTTGTAGAGTGCTGTAGTTTTCAGTGAAGAGGTCTATTGTCTCTTCATTAGATTGATTCCTAGATTTTTCATTTTTTTGGATGTTATTGTGAAAGGGATTTTCCCTAATTTGACTTTCAGTGAGTCTGTTCTTTGTGTACAAGAAGGCTATTGATTTTTGAGTACTTACCTTTTATCCAGCCACTGTACTGAATGAAGACTTTTGGTGTTCTTTGGGTCTTCTCTGTAGAGTATCCTATCATTCGCAAATAATGACAGTTTCACTTGTTCCTTTTCTATCATTATTGGTTTTAATTCTTTCTCTTGTCTAATTGCTGTGGCTAATGTTTCCTAAATTATAT